TGGGGGTACTGGGGTTCAGAGTCTGGCAGATTGTCAGCTTTATTCTGACACAAATCTGAGGGTAAGAGGCAAGGATCCCATCTAATGACCATGTTCTTATGCTCCATTATATGGTGGTGTTAATAATTAAACTGATTTGAGAAAAATTCCCAGCAGTGGAACACTGAAATATATGTGCTAGGATTTGGGGTTAATGATTCAGTTAGAATTTTAATAACACTTGAAAGGTTTTTTTGTTTATTTGGTTTTGTATTTCTAGACTAAATACAGCTTTAGTATAAAGTAGTAGAAGAAATGCTAATGGTTAAATTTCTCATTTGTATTTTTTCTTAAATATTTTTTCATAGTTTTGTGTAAGATTTAAAAAACCATTGCACTTTGGTCAGAAAAATAACAAATACATCTTATAAGTGTTTGATTCTCTTTCTGACTTATTATTCAGTAAATTCTATTTTTTACATCATATTGAAGCATTGAAAGGTGCATCATAAAAAAAGCTATAGAGTCAGAAGAAATGATCTCTTTAATCCAATCTTTTAAAAAAAAATCTCTGAAAATTTTGTTTTCTTTGTTCTTATCGTTTTCTTCCATCACTAATGAAAAATGATGTCCAATGTTCATAATATGAGATTTCTTAGACTATATCTCATTCTCAGCACTAATACTGTTAGGTATACAGGGTTCATTAGGGCAAGGAATTTTGTCTTTGTATAATTAGATTTTATATTAAAGTCATTGGGACTATTGAGCACAATTTGATGAATGTTCATTTATAATGTACTAGAATCATTTATTTCGATGTGTTATGAAATTCACTTATTAAAGATATATTTTCAACATTCTTGCCATTAGAAAACATAGTGTCCATAGTTCGTTGTGAATTTTGTAGCCAAGCAATATATTGATCACCGAAATTTGTATTGACATTCTTTTGGTTTCTTAGACGAGATTGTAATAAATTCTTATCTAATGATTGAGTCCAGTTATACAGAGGACCTTTATTAGTGGTGTAATAAAAGTGCTTTCGTATGCATCCAAAGGTTAAGGTTTGGATAACATTCCTATTCATATATGTGAAGAAATCTGTCAGATGGGGATCCTAAATATTGATATTATAAAAGCGGTCTTAAGGTTTTTAAGAAGACTTGAGACAAACTGCTTTGTTTCCATTAACCAGATATCTTTCTGTACCGTTTGAGAACAGAAAACCAAGAAACATAAGAATTTCTAAATTATGAGGCTTTGATTTTTGTTTGCTTTTAAGTACAAAAACATGTTGGCATTATTGAGTTTAGGAGTTGACAGATATATATCTGACTTTACTAGTTTGGCTCTTCTACTTGTCAAAGAGACAGTCACCAAAATACTGCTGTTTACTTTCTTGAGAGACATCAAGTGGAGCCTTGCCTTGTTTATTATTATTTTTTAATTAACTGACATTATTTCCATTTAATGATGTTGGATGTGTATGAATTATTTAGTAAATGATCCCAATAAATTTTGTGCTGTGGCCTTTACTATTTGCTGGTTCAGATTTCTGTTCTCTCAAGCATATCTTGATCTCAAGACATATTTAACATGTGGGTCCTCACATAGCAAAAGCAGAGTTCAGGATCCAGGAGAATTTTCTGCTCTGTGTATTATGTTTGGGCGTCTGGAATTTAGCAGAGACCGTGACTTTATCCCATTTCTTCAAGAACTCATATGGATTGAGGCACAAGCAGCCTATTTCATTACCTGCCTGCAACACTAATTGCTTGTCCTAGTTAGGGGAACACTGGCCCAGGCAATATGTCTTAGGATCTGTTTTTTTGTGGATTGTATTTTGTCCATGTAAATTTAAGTGGTTGCCTGACATTCCAGTGGCCCCTGGAGATAACAGTGGGTGAAAGTATTGGCCAGATTAGGTCAGCATCTTTCCCCTGGAGACTTGGTCCTTCATTTTGAAGCACTTAACTAATTGATCAACCATAGTACTATGGCGACATACTGTGCCTTCCAAGGGATTTCTGTTTAAAACTAATACTGTGATGTGGATAGACCCTCAGATGTCTTCTGTCAGTCACTCAATCATTCATAGTGCAGTCCTAGTGTGGCATTGCAGGATAATGCACTGGACCGCAAAGTCGGCGGTTCAAATCCACCAACCTCTCTTGGAAACCTATATGGGATCTCTATGAGTCAGAACTGACTTGATAGTACTTAAAAACAAGATAGTGCAGTTTAATTCTCTCTAGCCCACCTGTGTTCTTCATTTGCATAGTTGTTAAGTGCTGTTGAGTCAGTTAAGACTAATAGTGACCCAGTATAGGGTTTCTGAGGAACAGTTGGTGGGTTTTAGCTGCTGACCTTGTGGTTTGCAATCCAATGCTGATCCTACAGCACCATAGTACTCTTTTAATTCTAAGCACACTTTTTTTTTTTTTTTTAAGTAAAAGGAAGCTCATTTACTGTGCACCAAAGATTTAAGGTAAAAATGGTCCATATCACCTATTCCTTTATTTCTTCATCCCTGATTTCAAGGTAAATACAATTCCTTCTCACTTATTAACATGATTGTTGTTGTTAAGTGCTGTCGAGTTGGTTCCGACCCTTAGCGACCCTGTATAGGGTTTCCAAGGAGCGGATGGTGAGCTTGAACTGTCATCCTCGCAGTTCAAACAGCTTTGCAGTCTGGCGCATTAACCTACAATGCCATGCCAGAATTCCATTAACATGGTTAGAAGGCTCCAAAGATCAAGTCATTAAATGAAAATCAGCATTACACGAAAATGGAGGGTGACCGCATCAGATCACCATTTGGAAGATGACTGCATCATTCCATGACTGCTACATTACATCATTACGTAACTGCCAAACCCACTGAGACTCATGGCCCTGCCAAGTTAACCATCAATCAGCATTGCTCACAGTCAGGAACCTCGGCATTTGTTACTGCCAGATGTACATCACTAATGGGCAAGAGAGCTAGTAGATTTTTTAGTGGTCATAAATGCAAAATGTCAAATCATCCATAGATGAGTAGGTGTACACTCATTGATCTAGGTGTGTTTTCCTTTGGATAGGTGTACTTCTTGAGAGTGATATTAATTCGGGACCTTGATTCAAGTCTACTTTCCTGTCCTGATAGAGCAAAAGAACTAGTTGAATTTCAGGCTACCCCTCAAGTGGTATGTGGTGGTGCTGTAGGATAAGCACTGGACTAATAACTGCAGGTCTCAGCAGTTCAAACCCACCAGCTGTTCTGCAGGAGAAGATGAGGCTTTCTGTTCCCGTGACGATTTACAGTTTCAGAAACTCTATACCGGGTTGTTGTGAATTGGAACTAACTTGATGGCACCTAATAACAACAACAACTCAAAAGTCAGCCATACTAGCTCATTTATGACATTTTCGCTGTCTCTGCTCATCAGATGTTTATGCTTGTCTCGGGTCCGTCTCCCAAGAGAGGCTTCTCACTTACAACTCTGTCCTCTTAAGATCCAGTGTGAAAACAGCATGAACCATCCCTCCCACAGCACACCCTACTTCATTACAGTGACCATATAGAATTCAGATACCATAGACATAGTTATGGGCTTATTAGGGAAGTTAACACACTACAATGCAGAATAAGTACGTTCAGGATATAATTTTTTGGTCTGAACAGCCTCTTCTGCACTCCCAGGCACACCTTTTTGGCCACTTGGGCGCTACAATAAAGCTCTTTTAGCACTGCTGATAAATGCCCAGAAGGACACTCTACTTTGCTATGTGCAGCTCTAGCTTCATGCATCAGCAAAACTACCTCCCCAATGAAGTGCCTGAAGGCACCCTACTTGACAAGGGAGCCTCCTCCCCAAAGGCGCTCAGCTTTTTGTGCTTTATGAGCTGGGTAGTCCATGGCTCTGGCTCAGGCTCTTGGTTCTGTTGCTGCTGCTCCTCTGCCCCTCCTCTGGTGTTACAGTTCTGTCTCCTTGGAGGTTCAATGAATGCACAATGGACCTCGGGGTCCAAAGGATGTGCTCTGCTCCTCACTCTCTGTTGGAAGCAAGATCCCTCTTCCTACTTCTGAGATAATTCATTTTAAGCACACGGATGGGAAAAATGACCAAACCCCTCAGATTTTCAAGTTTTGCATTAACCCTGTTTATAATTCACAACAGAATCATATCATTCTATCAGCACTTCCCACCTTCTCGTCCCCAGACCTATCAGGAAAAAAAAAAATTGATGGGAGTTACAGACTACACACCTAGACCTCACCAGATGGGATACACATAAATCAAATGCACTACATTTGTGGGAAGAGAGTGGGAAAACTCCATATCATCAGCCAAAACAAGGAAAGGGGCAGACTATGGAATGGACCCTTAATTGCTTATATGCAAGGTCA